GTGTGTACATGTTTTGGCCATATCTCCTGGCTGTGGTCCCTTCTCATTTGGATTGGTTTGTGAATTGTCCCAAATGTGTCGTGTTTTGGCCATATCTCCTGGCTATGGTCCCTTCTCATTTGGATTAGTTTATGAACCGTCCCAAATGTGTACATGTTTTGGCCATATCTCCTGGCTATGGTCCCTTCTCATTTGGATTAGTTTATGAACCGTCCCAAATGTGTACATGTTTTGGCCATATCTCCTGGCTATGGTCCCTTCTCATTTGGATTGGTTTATGAACCATCCCAAATGTGTACATGTTTTGGCCATATCTCCTGGCCATGGTCCCTTCTCATCTGGATTGGTTTATGAACCGTCCCAAATTTGTACATGTTTTGGCCATATCTCCTGGCTATGGTCCTTTCTCATCATCTTTCTCATTGCCAAATCTGCCATGAACTTCATTTCTTCAAGTGAATGAGGGGCAGCCATCTTGCCTCCTAGGTTTTGACAAGCTTGCTTGCTTTTGTGCCAGGTAGCCGGTAATTCAGTGAGGCAATAGCACACTTTCCTCCACAGTTGCCACCCTGACGGGCAGGAACATTTCATTGCAGGCAGAGAGGGAGAGAAGTCTGACCCCCATGCTGCGTTGATGACTGCAGTGACGGCTACAATGCCAACAACTTTGAACAAGTTCATGGCAATTCTTAGACAGATGGTAACACGGTTTGAAGAGAATTGGAACGATGGGTTAGCTTCAGTTGGTGTCCCAGTCGGAGAATGGAGGCTCTAGAAACATTACATATCCACAGTGAAACAGTGAAGGAAACACAGAAAGCAATATGGGGCCATTGCTGACACAACCAATAACTGAGATAGCAATCAAACCTTTTAGTTCAGTGGTTAGTTTATTTTTATGGAATGCTCAAAGGCATTGACGGTAGGATTTCTGGCAAAATTGTTCCCTTGTGAAAATGAGAATGATTGGTATTGTCCATTAGATTAAACTGACTACTTCGCTGGAGACAATTTTCATTGTGAATGACAGCATGATTATGTTTGGAATACATTTGAAATTAATTTTTCAACTCCTTTCCGAAAACTCACTTTGTAAGAACACTTTGGTAATAATACACCAACCTGAATAATGAAGGACTCAAGATGAAATTGTGAGAGCTGGACTTGTTACATGTACTGGTAAATGAAGGTCCCTGGACTTCACTATGATTTTCTCTGGAGGGGGTAAAGTTGTCATTAGCAGTGAATTGAAAATGTTTACAGTACAAAAAAAGACTTTACATGTAGGGCATTTTCAAGCCGAATTGGCCATATCTCCTGGCTATGGTCCCTTCTCATTTGGATTGGTTTATGAACCGTCCCAAATATGTACATGTTTTGGCCATGTCTCCTGGCTATGGTCCCTTCTCATTTGAATTGGTTTTTGCCTACTTGAGATGCTGCAGATGTGCAGTTACATGCACGAATCTTGCCACAGAAAGAAAAAAGACAGCGCATGTAAAAAATCTATTCTCTATCTACACCTCTGATGATTTATTGGGGAAAAAACTAGTGTGTTTCCAAATGGTGAAGATCCATTGCTGTGTATCTCTGGGTAATAAGTGTATTGAAATGAATCGGATCATGTCATATAACAATTTGAATTATTCCAAAGTGCCCTGCATATAGAGAGACGTCAACTTGGTTGCAGTTTTGGACAGATCAAAGGATCATAGGTCAAGTCAAAGGTCGCAATTATATAATGATTGAAAATTGAAAGACTACATGTAAAAATGAGAAGTTGAATTCTTAAGGGCTGGGATGTTTTGGATGAATTCCAAATCACCTTTTCCAAAGATTATGTCTTGTAGGCAAAGAATATCCTACCTAGTGTATTTTGGCAATTTTTTTACATAATAAATTGGCAAAGATTTCTGGACACCATTCTCTCAAAAGAAATCTGAGTGGGAAGGGCCATATGTTAAGAGGGAACAGTTGTGCATGTTCCCTCAATGTTGCCTTATTAACATTAGAGGGTATGTCAATGTACATGTAGTTAATTAATTAGTGCCCTCATAACCAGATAATGCAGTAAACGATTCAAATCGTTAATGGAACTGGTTATACATGCACATGTATGTTGTCATCAGGAAACCAGAGAAACTCGAAATGAAATTGGACACAGCATTGACATTTCAAAGATCAGTGTTTCAATCATAATTTGGTAATTGAAATACATATGGATTTCAAACATCTCATGTAGATGCCTGTATTAGTGCATGCGACATTAAATTTCTGAATCATCAGCGCTTGGAAAATGCTAATTTCACTGAGCGAAAAATGAGAATGTTACATGCACCAAATTTGCGTGTAGCCACAAGAACGTGGAAATATTGCAATCAGTTAATGATATTGAACGATTAGTTGTTGCTTGAAACTGAGACTGTTAAAAGATAAAACACTTATCAAAAGTCAAGATATAATGATCTCTTTCTAGATACCGATGAAACACAGAGGTGTTGGTTTAATAAACATTCAATTTGTTACTACTGAACAGATTAGATTAAAAGGAAACTTCCAAATGCTCCTCTGGAATAGTTATGCAAATTTACAAGCAGGTGGCTTTAAAGAAGAAATCATCACATTAAGCATTTATTCACACGATACAATATACATGTACGTGTACATGTACACACTAAACAAAGCAAGGTGATTTTTCAAAAATGCAGAATGTTTCCAAAGTGGTGAATATGCAGAGATTAATCAAATCTCAAGATTTGGATTGAAAATGAAAGAAACAGACCTGGGAATCATTTCTAGACGTATCTATAACAGTAAAAACTAAAACGCATGATAAAGAGAGCCCAAATGTCTACCTCATTAGTGATTTTATCTCTGTCTGTCTTTTCCTTTGGCTCTGAATTGAATCGCTGTGTTATATGTGACATTTCTAAACTTACACATCAGGGTTCACAATTATATTCATGGTCAACAGCCAAAATGAAATTGTTCTCTTTCAGTTTAGGTTGACTTTCGAGGTCTTGTTCAAGACTGTCAAAATCTAGCCGATGCAAATTTCTGAGTAGATACAGAAATCCCCGATGGTTTGGAACTTGTCCTTGTCTTCGGAGCTTGTGCTGTTGTTCAGCTGACACAGTTTCTTGCCGTCTCCGTTTTTCTTGATGTTGAAGGAGTGACATCTGGGCTCCTTGGCGCAGGCTGAGCCACAGGCAGTGATGCTGTCAGTGACAAGGTTGCGGATGACGTGGTCGAGGAGGCAGGTGGAGTTGAGAATGCGGCCGTGGGTGTCGGTAGAGAAGCAGTAGCGACGGGGTTGGGTTTGGCGAGGAGTGCAGGCAGCCTGACAAATACAAACGGCATCATGGGATTCACTACAGCGGCCATCATCCATACTGTCACCATGTCTTGCAGCTATTACAGCACAGTCTTGATTCCCTCTATAATTATCTGGTTGCCGAGGCTGCCATTCCATGAACGGCTTGCTCCCTTCCTGGCCATCACACGTCCAGTTTCCTTCTACCTCATTGTCACTGCAAGCAATCCAGACGATGTAGTTGCTGTTGTTCTGCCGTGCCAAATCTGCCATGAACTTCATTTCTTCAAGTGAATGAGGGGCAGCCATCATGCCTCCTAGGTTTTGACAAGCTGACTTGCTGCTCTCCCAGTCAGCCTTTGATTCAGTGAGGCGATAGCACGCTTTCCTCCACAGTTGCCACCCTGATGGGCAGGAACAGTTCATGGCAGGCAGAGAGGGACAGAAGTCTGACCCCCATGCAGCGTTGATCGCTGCCGTGATGGCTACAACGGCAACAACTTTGAACAAGTTCATGGCAATTCTTAGACAGATGGTAGCACGGTTTGAAGAGAATTGGAACGATGGGTTAGCTTCAGTTGGTGACCCAGTCGGAGAATGGAGGCTCTAGAAACATTACATATCCACAGTGAAACAGTGAAGGAAACACAGAAAGCTATATGGGGCCATTGCTGACACAACCAATAACTGAGATAGCAATCAAACCTTTTAGGTCAGTGGTTAGTTTATTTTTATGTAAACGCTCAAAGGCAATAACGGTAGGATTTCTGGCAAAATTGTTCCCTTGTGAAAATGAGAATGATTGGTATTGTCCATTAGATTAAACTGACTACTTCGTTGGAGACAATTTGCATTGTGAATGACAGCATGATTACGTTTGAAATACATTTGAAATTAATATTTCAACTCCTTTCCGAAAACTCACTTGCTAAGAACACTTTGGTAATAATACACCAACCTGAATAATGAAGGACTCAGGATGAAATTGTGAAAGCTGGACTTGCTACATGTAATGGTAAATGGAGGTCCCTGGACTTCTCTAGGATTTTCTCTGGAAGGGGTAAAGCTGTCATTAGCAGTGAACTGAAAATGTTTACAGTACAAAAAAGACTTTACCTGAAGGGCATTTTCAAGCTGAATGGTAGTGTTTCATCTTCTTTCCTCCTTTTTTTCATTTCTGTTACTTTTTCTGTTTTGTTTCGTTTTTTGGGGGGGGATCTTTTTCCTATTTAATTCCAAAGAACAGGGAGCACCCCCTCTTGCTCCCTTGCCATGCCCATGGGTTGGTCACTGGTAGTAGACCAAAGCTGAAGGGGTGTAAACAGCCATCTCTCCTTCCATAATCTGATAGGATGTTAACATGTTCTTTGCTGTCCCAGTTAGCCTTTCAATCAGGAGGTCGATAGCATGATGTCTGCCACAGTTTCTGCCTTTATGGGCACGGGGGCTGCAGTAAGGAATAAAATCTGAAATATTGAAAGACTTATGCCAGAATTATGATATGAACCCAAGTCCCATCCACAGCTCTCAAAGATGCCCAGACATCACGGTGTTCAGTGTTTTGACTTTTAGCTTGGAATGCTTCAAGGAAGGATGACGGGGATTGTGGCTTCATAGGTTTGACATCTGAACTTCTCTTTCTCATTAACGTGTAAGCATCCTGTATTTTTGACATTCGACCCCTACCTTTAAAATGCTGCTGTACCAGGAGAAACATAAACATGTATTTGTTAATTGGTTTGAGATTAAAAACTGAAGCATCCCAAACTATTTAATGGTCCCAACTGCAAATTGGACCCAGGTCGTGGTGCTTGGTTTTTCTATTTCAGTGAAGTCCTGTTTTTGAGAGGGAGATTATATCATCACTGTTTTCATGAAGAGCCACGCATATGTAGATTTT